TTTTGAGGCGACCGAGTCGGGCGATCCCATCCGTAGTGGGCACCCGTATTAGGTAGCGTAAACACGGCCTCGAGGGCATCCGAACGACATGAAGCTATTGAGAGCACCTAGCACACCTCTGTGATTGACCCAAAATAGATCATAGATGATATTTTTCCACCATCTATTTTTGTCGTCTTCCGAGGTTTCCCTCACGAGTTGACTATATTATTGTAGATCCCCTAGATCTATCACCATTTATTAATTTTAAAATATGATATAATACTATCATTCATCGGAATGCCGATGACAAAGTTACTAACAATAGAAATGCAGCGCTGTGACGTTATTAAAGTTTGTCTAACTACTACCAAGATGTTTCAATCGCCCTACCTTCGTGACGGCCCGTGATACGAATGTAAACAAACGTTCCAGCGTTAAGTAGAAAGCGATATATTTTGTCTTTGAGCAGAGAGAGAAAGAGAGAGAAGAGGAGGAGGGGGGAGGGGGCGAGAAAGAGAAATGAAAATAAAAGATATAAATTTGGGTCAGAGAGAGAGAGAGAGAGAGAGAGAGAGAGAGAGAGAGAGAGAGAGACACAGAGAGACGGAGAAAGGGGTACAGAGAAAGAGAGAAGGACAGAAAAAAGCCACAAAAAAAAAAAGAAAAAAAGAGAGACATAGAGAGAGAGACAAAGAGAAGGGGTAGGGTTTTTTTTTTCTCTTTTTTTTTTATAGTAGAGGGTTTTACGGCGCTCACAACTGCATAAGGTCATATGAGTGCCAAGGGGTGGGTGTCAACAGAGAAGTTCTTACAGGGAATCAGACTTACTCTGCTCACCTCTCTAGCTTCAACAGCACAAAGTCTGCTTTGACCATCAAGGCACCCCGGAAATAGCAGGTCACAAGAGTGACAAACATACAAAAGAAGAAGAGGAAAATGACAATAGTAAGGATTAGGATAGAAAAAGCAGCAGTTCCCTGTTGCACATCAGGCACAGTTATGAGCGTGACACGATGAATCAGCCCATTTACAATTCTACTGTGCTTGAACGAGAAATGTCCCCCCTTTGGGAATGGCCTAAAGACACTACAGTCAGTGGCACTGCCCCAGGTAGGGGGTTCAACCTTCATCAACGGGAACAAAAGTGGACAATGAACAAGCTCTCACCCTGAACCGTCATGAAGTCAGCGAAGTTCCAAACCATCTCCCCTATCAGGTACTCCTTCCTGGCCCGGTCAAACTCCTGGTGGTACTCGCTGAGGAAGTCCTCTTGGTACTCCTCCGTGAACATGAAGGATGGGTCCTGACAGAGATGAACGAGAATAAATGAAGGGCTTTATGACAGAGTGAGAGAATAAATGAGAATATATGAAGGCCTTTGTGATGAAATGGGAGAATAAACAAGAATAAATGAAGGCCTTTGTTATAGAATGAGAGAATAAATAAGAATAAACGTGAGGCATCATGGTGAAATCAGGCACTCGTCAAAATGATGAAATCAAAGAAATCACCATTTTTCTGGCAATTTGGAATTTGTTTTCCAAATTTTTGTTTTTTGGCTCAACGCATTGTATGTCCATTCAGAAACATTCTTATGAGTGGATTTTATGGAAAAATGTAGATTAAAGGCACGAAAAATGTAAATTTGCAGTTTCCAAGGACTCTTGAAATCTTGAGCTGTGGAAGTCACCAAACTATGGTGGCCATTTTCTCGTTAATGCTACTTCTGAAGGCAGGTGATCCCACCTCCTTCAATCGCAAATATCTCGACTTCTATTAAAGATAAATGGATATTTTTTTCATAAAATGAAAGATCAATGAACAAACTTTTAAGATGATACCAATAGCTCCATATACCCAAAAATTGACGAGTGCCTGATTCCACAAATGAAGGGCTTTATGACACAATATGAGAACAAACAGAAATAAGTGAAAGGCTTTATTACACAATGAGAGAAGAAACAAGAATACATGAGGGGCTTTGCGATAAAATGGGAAAGTACATGAGAATAAATGATGGTCTCTGTAACAACATGGCAAGAAAGGTGGGCCCTGAAAGGAAATTGATGAGAATAAATAAGTGTACATGATAAACAAGAGTAAATAAAGCACCAGGTGACACGATGGGAGAATCAACAAATATAAATACTAATAAGAATAAATGAAACGTTTGGCATAAGAAATCAATTAAGGGTTTCAGGGTTTCAAGATAAAATAGGGCACTCTAATACTGCGAATATGGAGGATGGGTCATAAGGAAGAAAATGAGAAAAAAATGAGTACCTTTGTGACAGAAAGGGAGAATAAACAGGAATAAATGAAGGCCTTGGAGATAAAATGGAAAAATAAACAAGAATAAACAAAAGACTTAGTGACATGATGGGACAAAAAACGAAAAGGGTCTATAACGTTACACTATATGATTATAACAAGACAAAATAAATGGTTTGGGACAAGAAATAAATCAAGGGTTTTGAGACAAAATGGGATTTCTCCAATGCTGCAAAAATGAAGGATAGGTCCTAACGAAGATAAAAGAGAATAAATTTGTGACAGAATGGGAGAATAAACAAGAATGAATAATAATCCCCTCTATCACCATTTTTTCCCTCTGATAAGCCCACACAGTAACACACCCTGTGGAGTCCCGGTATGGTGTCCGCGCCATATTCTGTTATGATTATCGGCTTCTTGTACAGATTCCGGAAGCCTTCAAACTGTCGTTTAAGCTGCAGCTGGATGACCTCGGTGTGGCCAGGGTCAGAGTACCAGCCGTAGTAGCGGTTCAGACAGATCACATCCACATAAGGTACCTGTGAATGAAGAAATTGTAGAAAAGAACCACTTTAGGAACGAGTCAGTAAACCTTTTTTATTGCATACAACTCATTTGACTCCTGATGAGAAAAAAGTACAGATGAACTTTTCCATTGCCAACATCAAGTCCGATGGCATTAAAAGAGATAACATTACTTTAAAAAACCCATCTCTCCCACGGGTTTAGTTTAGTTTCAGAAGGAGTTTTACAGTACTTGCAACACAAATTGGGTTGTACAAGTGCAGAACATTTGAGGTGTTACCAGATAGTGACAACACAAAAAAGAAGGAGGAGAGATAAGGATGATAGATGTTTCATAAGAAAGAAGGAGCAAACCATATCAGAGCACCCATCAACTACCCACTGGGTTTAGTTTAATTACAGGAAGAGTTTTAGAGCAACTTGTAACACAAATATAAGCTCAAAGATTTGAGGTGTTTCTAGAGACTTTCATACAAAGAAAAGATGGTTAAGAAAAGAAAAGGTACTGCTTTCGTGAGTAGCTTTTGAGATCATTACAAATTGTTTGCCAATTTTTTCTTTACTCTTCTCGCTTTACAATGTTAATGAGGTATATAGTCTAACTTCTCTTCATCCTTGAATGTTAAAAGTCAAAAATTGATTTTTTGAATCATGAGACGCACATTGACACAGTAATGGTTATACAGTCAGAAACAATAGAGCGAAAGAAAAGAAATAGAAAATACCAGTGGTAGCTTCCAACCATCCACCATCAGTTTATGATGAATCAGCTTTTATTAATTTAATGGTAACTGTATGAAAGAGATAGGTTTGAATATGAATAAGGAGTAGCACTTCCACATAATAACAATCATTTCCGGAGAGACAAATGCGAAAAATACAGAGACAACAAAGGGAAAGTGAATATCATGTATGACCTATCAGTGGTGCTCTAAAATTAACTGATTAAACTGAATGTTGAATAAATGGTTGTAATAAACCTTTCTATAAGACTTTCAAGTTATTCTACATCAGTGCTATTTTGAAGCAGGAATCAAACACAAGTTTTCCAGCTTGATAGGCAAACACCTGAAGAATATATACGAGCTATGTTTAGCATTATTTGGAGTCATAATTCATGGGGGCTTCATGACAGTACAGGTTACCATAACATAATATTGTAAAGGTAGAAAAACAGCAGGGTACATGTAAAAATGAAGGGAGAAATTTCTTTTATTTTTTTAAAGACTGGGAGACAAGAAGTATCAAACTTTGAAGCTAATACTGTGCATTTCTCAAATTCATCAAAAACATGACTAGCATTTTTCCTCTGTAAACTTCACCTCATCTCTCATCTGACAAGCCTTCCCCCCCCCCCCCCCCCCCCCGTTACAAAAATAAAGGGTAAAACACGCAATTTTTTCGCTTCTGAATGTAAGACTATATTCAAAAGTGACGGGGTGGTGTAAAAACCACCAAAATGTGACCTGCAGCCTACACCTATGTAGACCTCTCATCTAAAAAGCCAGCATCCCTCCCCACCCCCAACTCACCCATCTTCCTTAAAGTAAAATGAGTTGAAACAATGCAAACTGAGTATAACACTTACCACTTTTTCCGTTTCAAACGTATGGTCACAGACAAAAGTGACAGGACGGTGAGCTGGGTCATTAACTCTTGTGTATTCAATTACAGACCTGGGAAAGACACCAGAGTTAATTGATTATTTGTTTGTCTAGTTGTTTGTGCGTTTAGTAAACAGAAGTATTCTAAAAAAGTAAAATCCACACAGAAATGTGTTTTAAATAGATATAAAAAGTGTTGAGCCAAAAAAAACTTCAAAAAAATATTTATCAAGAGTTGCCCAGTCAGTTGATATATATATATATATATTTTGTAAGTGTTTTATGGCGCTCACAACTGAACAAGGTCATATGAGCGCGGGGGACACATTAAACATTTTCAATAGGTAGGAAATTCTGAATTTTGCTCGGGTGGCGGCCGAAGCCTACCCTGATCAATTTGGACCATCAAGGGATCTTTAATGTTCGCAATTTGCACACGGGACCTCAGAGATTTTTCGCCCTTGTTCGAGAAGGCTAGGTGTAGATCTTTCCTACCAGAAGATCAGGGGTGCGGCTGAAAGATAGCAGAAAGAAGGAGCCAAGGAGTAGCAGTAGAAAAGCTGCAGAAAGAGTCAGGAGCCCAGAGGGAGGGGCAAAGGAGGTGAGGGGGGTGGGGGCAGAAGGTGGAGATAAAAAAGGACGATAAAACATTGCTAGAGAGGAAGGAGGTGAAAGGAGACAATTTTACAGAAGAAAATTTTCCGCCACTATCCTGATTCGAACCTGTGACCTATTTAATGAAAGGCAAACACCTTAAACTTAACCCTCGTCAGTTGATAAATGTTGGTTTCTCTGATTTCATTTAATAAGTGCCTCAAACAAGTCCGACAGTTTAAATATCTAGGATATATAATAACATCTGATGCCAAATGTTTCACAGAAATAAAACAAAGAATAGCAATGGGTTTTTAAAAAATGAGACCAATCCCGAAAAATAGTAACATCTCAATGAATACCAAAATGAACATTCTGAAATGCTGCGCATGGTCAACCCTTCTATATGGCTGTGAATTCTGGCCAATCGCTGAAGACAGTGAAAATAAAATAGAAGCAACAGAAATGAGGTTTCTTAGGAGACTGCTGTGAATATCGGGGAAGGAAAAGAAATCAAATGAGGTAGTAATTGATGAAGCCCACATGGCACGCTCACTGTTAAAAACAATCAGAAAAAGACAAATGCATTTTTTGCCACACCTGAATAGACATAAAAGTCTTGAACATGTAGTTTGCCATGACAAAATTGAAGATAATAAATGAGGTAGGGGTAGGCCCAGAACAACCTACTTAGAAAACCTAAACAGACAGGTTACAGAGAAAGATCAGGGTAACATAGCTTTTTAAAGAGAATCCGAGCAAAGGAAGGAATGGAGAACCATGATCACCGATGTCTGCTGTAGATCTGGCACTTGATGATGATGATGATGATTGAGTACCTGATTTCAGCGCGATGCCAAACAAACTACGTCATGATCTGCTGGCAGCCTTTTGTGGGAGTGTTATCAATATTGCCAGTGCATATTATTGTTTCTTTTCCTGTGTTCCCAAAAATGTTCTTACCACTGACTCTTCAGTTCACATTGCAGTTGACTTTAAAAAAACATGTATGCACAGTGATTTCCATTCATAACTTTGTGCTTGCATTTATGTAAAACACTTAAAGTTCATACAACAGTAAGGGCTATAAAAATGATTAATATTTTTATAATGATTATTAAATGACAGCATGCTTTCACTTACTTGAAATACGGGACAGCGATGTCAATATTACTGGCTGGTTCATTGGCAACAGACCACATGATGACTGACGGTTTGTTCTTGTCACGACGAATCATCTCAGACATGACCTCCTTGTGGTGGTCCAGCGATTTCTGACCAAAATTGTCCCTGAAAAGTGACAGGATTAAAATAATGTGGGGTCAAAATGTTTTTGTTATGTGATATATTTGATGGATGACTTAAAGATGTATTCCTCTTCACCTTGGTATTTGATTAGCTGATGAAGGAAACCACAAGAGAGTACAGAAATGGAATATAGTGGCTGGGCCCCATGGAAATAGTTGGACGATCTGGACTTTGTGGAGGACGTGGGACTTCTGTCACACTCACAGGAGCAGATGGAAGCAAAGACTTCAGTTTTTAAACAACCCACTACAGTCTGTTGGATTGAGAATCCATCTCAGAATAGTCAAATGTCCTTGGGATAGATGCCCCATAAAAGGAGCAAGTCACAATAGAAGGAGATGCACTAGAAGATGTTGAATCTTTCAGCTATCTTGGGAGTATAATTATTTACAGAGAGAGAGAGAGGAAAAGAAGCGGAAAATAAGCTCATCGTTGCAATGGCACAGGCTGTTTTCATATCTTTATTTCAGATTTGGAAGACCAGGGATGACTCGATCTGAACAAAGCTCGTGATTTTTAACTCAGATGTGAAATCAGTTCGTGGCCTATATCCTGACACAGGGTGAGAAAGGCAATGATGATGATGATGTGAAGCCAGTCTTGTTGTATGGATGTGAGACATGGAACTCATCTCAGACTTGCAAAAAGAGGATACAGGTTTTCTTGAACAAGTGCCAGAGAAAGTTACTCAGGATCACATGGAAAGAAAGAGTCACCAACAAAGTAGTGTTTAAGAGAACAAGACAGAGCCCAATCAGAGAAGGGCGTGGGAAGAAAATAGTGGCAATGGATTTGACAAACTCTCAGGAAACCCAGCAGCTGCTTCACAAAGAAAGTGTTGGATTGGAATGCACAGGGTAAGAGAATGAGGAGAAGGCCACTTGGAATCTAGAGAAGAGTCACAGAGAATGATGAACAGAAAAGTGGGAAGACATGGAAATGAAATGTAAAGAGGCTAGCCCAGGATAGGGAAAAATGGAAAGTGTTCATTCCGCGCCTATACCCTGAAAAAAGGGGGAGAAAGGCAGTGATGATGATGTTGGGTGATGATAATGGATGCGGGATACATATTACAGATGATTTATGGCTTCATGATGCATATAACAGATAAATTACAGTTGTGTGATGCATTATGATACATGGCTTATGTTTTCATGATATATATAATGGATAATTTACAATCACACACAAACTCACACACATGTACGAAACAGATGACTCACCGTTGATTGATCCCAACTCCGGGACTCTCGTCAATGACCGCGACTCCCTGACTGTCAGCCAGCTCCAGGATTTCCTCAGCATACGGGTAGTGGGATGTGCGGATACAGTTGACGCCGAGCCATCGAAGCATATTGAAGTCTTTGACGATCAATGGGTAGTCCAGACCTTTGCCTCGCAGCTAGGAAGTGAAAACGGTGAGTCATAGAATGAAATTAATAAAATAAATGAACAAATGAACACATCAATGAATAAATAAATAATCATTTCCACTGAGAAAGTGCTCAAAGTCAAAGTGCTTTACAATAATACAAAGAAGCTTGCGTTGGTTGTATTGTTTGTTTGAGTAACCAGAAGCATAATTTCGACACAATAATGGTCAATTAGTAATGGGAAATAGTAAGAGAGACAGACAGAAACAACCGAAGAAAAGAAAAAAAAGGAGGAATTACCACTCAGTGGTACCTTCTCATCTTCCACCAGGAGAGAGTTCAAGTTATGATGGATCAAAATATCATTTTTGGGGGAAACTCAAAATATCAAGCAAAAGCTGGCAGAATGGTGGGGTTTTTTTTTCTAGTTTTGCACGAGTGTAAGGAAATCTAGAACTGATAATTATTACAATATCACGGAATACCACACCAAAGTGTCAACTGACATCTCACATTTGGGTTGAAAACAGTCTGTTTTTTGTGAGGACATGGAATATCGCCAGTGTAAGGCAACAAAGGCCTTGGAGATTTTCTATGATGTCAGTATTCAGAAAATAGCTTCTTCCAAAAACCCTCGGAAATTGATTTAGGGGATTATGACTGACAATTTTTATCATCTTTATCCACTTTCAGGAAAGTCAGATTACAACACCCTT